CGCGCCGAAGCCAGCACGCGGGCAGGTCACTTCCAGAGCGACAGGTTGCACGTGTTCACCCTCCTGATCTATGCCCACTTTTAACCGGCCTTGAGAGCCTCCTTCTGTTTCCCCCCCACGGCTGGAGACAACACGTGAGGTGCAGATTGCCTTGGTTTCCTTCCCTCTGCAAACTCCCTCCTGATGCAAAACCACACTTGTCAGTTGTCTTTGTAATAGATAAAGCAGAAAGCCTCTTTTCTGAACAATTAAATTAAATTAAGAATTAATTTGTTTTAACTGTGAAATAAATTAATCTCACTACACAAAATAAGCCAATAAGCTGGGATATTATTTCCTCTTTTTAGAGAGATTAGAAAAGACTTAAAGCTTTTTCCATTAAGAATTTTTGAGTCAGGAACTATTACTGATCCACTATGACACATTTTTGTAGGTAAAAACACAGCATAAAAAGGATACAAAGCACATGCAGAGTTGTAAGTTTTTTAGTCCAAATGCCTTTTCCTTGTCACATTATCTTCAGAGTTCAGAGGAACTCATGTAACAATCTTGCATGCAATTCAGTCTCCTCAAATTATTATTTTTTAATTGTAGTGTACTTTACAGTGATTTTTTTTTCTTATTTTTAAATAGAGAAGTAGTCATAATTTTGCTTTATATCCATTTACAATGCAACTGGAAAGCTGTCCGTTTACTTGTCAAGTAGAAAAAGGTATGGTTATGTTCCTGTTCTCCAACTTTATTACTCAAAGCACAAAAGCGAGCACATGACTGTACACTGACCTTCATCTGTTCCCAAATTATGTCTTTTAAAAGCCTTGAATCTGTTTAAGGGGGGTTGGTGAAACCCAAAACGAACTTGGTCTATTGCTTTATAAAGTAGGTGAATGTAAAACTTAAGTATTACATTTCAGGCTCTTACTATATTAAATACAGCAAAATTAGGATGAGAGAGAATGTAACTGGAACATGAGTCTAGTTTTAGAGAATATTTTTTTGTTACAAGCATCAATGATTACTTTGTAATATTTGGTATGTTTCTATTTCTGTCAGAAAATCACCATATATTTGCAGAAGGAAAATGTCCTCCTGATCAAGTTTTTGATTTTTAAAAGGAGTGACCTTAAAAAAAATTAACAATTCTTCCCCCCTCAACTCACACCACCACAAATTGCTAACTAGTTCTGACAGACCCACATCTATGAAGTGGGTCTGTCAGAACTATCTATCTATCATCTCGAAGTACATCTTGCATTTAAATTTTCATCACTTGCACTCCACTTGATTTGTCTAATAATGAGCAAACACATCAGCTGAGTATTCAGGGGAAAAGTAAACCTTATCAGAAAATCAAGCTGTCCATAAAATAACTGCAGAAAGAATATTTTGCTGTATGTCACTAACACAACAGGTCAGAATTATGCAGCGTGTATGTGCACCAGCCCAATAAACTTGTTCAATAATTACAAACAAAAAGATTTAATCAAGGATTTTCTTTTTTCTTCTTTCATTTTTAGTAATTTTCACTGTTGTTTCTAACAATGTAATAAAACCTTGCAATGAGCTCTGATCATGTTAATCTGTACGTTTCAAAGAAAGATTAACTTAAATGTAGCGCTGCAAGACAAAACCGATAGTAAATGTATTATTTTCCAGTAGAAAAGAGGTTTAGAAGTTGACAGATTTCTTGACAATTTTACAAATTTTTGACAGTTGTCAGATGGGAACTGTAACATTCATTAAGTATTTAATCTACTTACAAAATTATAGAAACCTTCAGGTTGTAAGAGACTTTTGGAGATCATCTGACCCCACCTCCTGCTCAAAATCAGGCTAACTTCTAAGTTAGGTCTGATTTCTCAGAGCCTTGTCCAGTCGAGGTTTGATTTTTTCCAAGGATAGAGGTTCCTCAGCCTCTCTGGGCAGAGTATTCCAGGACTTAATTACTCTCCATGGGTATGTCTTTGTGTCCTGGCTCTTCCTTCTGTTAAAGTTTAAACCTAAATATGGTAAGAAATGCTGCTTCTTTTGTCTATACTGACACTCAGCTGACTTTTGATGGCACAGGTTTTGAAAGTTTGCCTTGGTAACGGTTTATTGTGTGACCAGTAATAATTTTGCACAAAACTCTTTTTTGTTCTTAAGTGCCATGGAAGGATTGAATGTAAGCAATTATTTGTTCAGCATAAATTAAAACTATGTAAAGCAGAGGTGACTCCGGGGCTCATACTATAATTCTGAATGCTCTTGATCTTAAGAAAGCTCAGGAGCCACACGCTGTAAACTCAAGCCCAGATCTGCAATAATTAAAAGAAATAAAAATTAATATCTAATTAAAAGTCTGCTATTTCAGTTTGTGTTAGTGTTATGCCAGCTTGCATATGGTTAAACGATCTTGTCCTACTTAAATATATAGTGAGATTTTAAAAGATGACTCACACTTAAGGCAAATTAAATGACCACTGTCTTCACGTTTTTGTCTTTGTATAATTTAATCAGCTGTTCATCTGAACCGTTGGAAAGGATAAATTTATACAAAAATAATTTCACCTCTCTTGCTAAGTATTTTCCTGTATGAGGTCTATATTCTGATACAATCTATTGAATATTGGCTTATGTTGACCTTATCTGAAATGAGAAACAACACGGGGGTCCCAAAGGAACCCAGCACTCAAGCTCTTACTTTACTGTCATACTGCAAGGAAGTCAGTCTTAAGCACATGTTTACTTGTGGGGCTGAAAGAGGATGACAGATAAAGACATGAGTTAGGCTCAATGTCTGGTTTTATATGATTAGCACAGTATTTTATTTTTCTTAATTCAGCATCATTAAATTCATTATACATATCAAGTATATGTAAATATAACACATACATATGTGTACTGGCATTCCAATGCGTATGTTCAATTTAGGTAAACAGCCTTATTAAAACAACTTGGAGAATATAACAGTGCTGCAACACTTTCAGAAGTAAATTGTTTTGAATACTTTTGAAAAAATATTATGGAAAAGTGTTCTTAATTATGGAAAACATCTACAATCTTCCTGAAGAAGAGATGTCACTAAAAAATCCTCCCCAACAGGACGTGTCCCACAAACTCCTCCTCTTCTTCCAAGATTTTATTCTTCATTAGGAGTAATGAACCTCTAAGGGCCCTGTAAGTATGAAGTCCTCTATAATCTCCAACTATTAGACAACGTGACTTTTTCATATAACTAGCATCATAGCTATTCTATTAAAATACAGTAGAATAGAGCTTTAATGCATTATAAGGAATTTTGAACCTGACTGATTTATCTGGTAATAAGTGGCTTCATATTCACAAATGGAATTTATGTGAAACCATGGATTTCCTATACAGAAAGTTCAGATTATTACCTTTGGTGTCAGAAGTTGCATTGAATTTACTTGTGAAAGAGCGTTAGACATTCTACAGTCCAACACTAGTCACTAATAAGTTAGGATGGCAGCTGTTGTATATCTGAAGCTAACAAATGTTATGTGACCAGAGATGACTGGCATGACATGTGGCTGTAGCCTTTTTATACAGTTATGTTCTCAACTATTTTAAAAATGTCCACAAAAGTCCTTCAGAAATACTGTTCCCAAGAAGTTCATGGAAAACTGATCCTTTAATATTTACCCCACTCAGTTAGTTGCATATATTCACACATTATCACAAAGCAATAAGCTAAAAGTTTAAACAAAAATAGCAGTGCAAATTATTCATCTGGAAGTCATGTCCTCAGCACTGTGATTTGATTCTGGATTCACTTGCTTGAAAGTACAGGGCATATATTAAATTTCCAGCAATCAATTATCATTTCAGCCTTTGTATCTGCGATCATAAATTCAGGCACATGCCCATATGGACAGACAAAGTGCAAAGACAGAACTGTCTTCCAGGCAAATTCCAAAAGCAAGTGTGAAGTCAGTATCAAAATATCACTCTCTTTTCTCTCTTAATTCTCAAGCAGTACAGGCATTTTTAATCTATCTAATGTTTTCCCAGACTTCCTGGAACTTTTACCTTCATAATCTTTACATTGATAAAAAGTGTTGCTATCACTTTATGTCCATCCCAGGTATTTAATAACTATGAGACTGGGTCTGTTTCATATACACCCTATTCATTACAATTTTGCATGAACTGATTTTGAAGTCAGGAGTTAACTGCTTTTCTTCCCTGATAGAAGAAATACTATTGTAAAGACAGAACAAAGATGCTGGCCATTGATTTCTTCCAGTGTCCTTAGGAGAGGGTTTTGCTGTACAGAATGGAGGGCCTGAAAGGTTTGGGGGATTTGTAAAGTTACTTGAATTAGGCTTGGCCTGAAACATCATCATATAGCAGTGATAGAGCATATTAAAATAAAAATGTTAGCATAATACTAGGATTTAATCAAACATAAAACAGAATCTCTACCTTATTCCAAGTAATTGCCAGTAAAAATAAAATAAAAAAAAAAAAAATCAAACAGTATGACCAAAACTTTAGATCGTTTTTTAACAGTCTTTATATTAGGGCAATACCTGGGATTGTATATTCAGAAGTGAGAGAGTATGGTCACATACCTGGGACTAGACCATTTAACAGCACAAATAACAACAGCGTTAAGTATATGGGGGGAAGAGTCCTTCCTTCAGGTGATATATTAACACTCAAAAATTTCATACCATCCAAGCTTTCAGTTCCATCTTCTATGTAAACATTAAAAAGTACAATATATTATGTGTCAACTCTAATATTTGAAAAGTCAAGCACAGATAAAACTTACTGAAAGCATAACAAACCACGAGGAGATTTTAAAATTTCTGCTAATTCTGTCTAAAGTAGTAGAGAACAATCTGCAGGTATTATACAAGAAGTAAGAATTGCAGAGGAAATTAGAGGAAAAAGAAGTGACTCCACATTAAGAAGATTTGACCAGTGGGAAGAGAATACAGTATGAAATACAACATAAAGACAGAAGGAAATAACATGATTCCATCTGTTACCTGTCATGTGTCCTCATAAAATCCCAGAACTTCTTAGTGCCATTCTGCGGGAAAAAAATAAATAAATCCATCAATAAAATTAGTTCCAAGTGAAAAATTATTATAATGAAATTTAACAAAATTTAACAAAATAACAGGCATTTATTTGAAAACTTGGTATAGTTGGTTTTAATTATGAGACCGTTATTCTGGATTTTGTCAGTAAGTATTATAGATGCTGAGAACTTTCATAGGACAGTTCAAAATCTTAGATCCATAATATTATGCTGACAGCAACCTTAAGACTATGGTAGTCTTTGGGCCCAATTTTGGCCACAGTATCAACTTCAGATGCTCCATCTAATCATTCAGGTGCCAGGAAGGTGTAAGCTTCTAAGTTTTAACCAGTAAATTAACCCATAGATCTATGTTCTTCAATGTCCAGAAATGGTCTTATCTTAGGAGGACAGCTCAGTACATACCTCCTAACAACTCAGTTGGGATCCAGGAACAAGACATCCTTCCCTCTAACTCCTTATAAGGCCCAAAATAGTAGTTTTGTCCATGATGCGCCTAACATGAAGAGATGGCACTCCGTTCTGCACAACAGCTGTTAGTCTGAACTGCTTGTGGTAGTGAGGATACTGTCTAACAATAGGCTTCAAATCACAGCATTCACCCAAGCACTGGGAGACATAAAATGGATTATTTTCTCAAGTTGGGCCAATTTCTGTCCTCTGCTATCTTAAAAAGAATGACATCCACTACAGCACAGCTGAAATTGATCCCTGAGAACAAGCATTCTTCCACAGTTATAATGAACACATACACAGTTGCTTACATTTATATTCTATCTTCTGTAACCACCTATACCAATTCATACATACCAGTTAACAGAAACATGTATATAATTCTTTACCCTGATTATTAGAAGTGTGATGGTATTTTTCAGTTGAAATGCAACTCAAGAGATTTCACTCCCAGGCCAATTTTAAGACTATATAAGGAATCAGTATGCAACCAGAGGAAGTTCTTTCGGTTGATACCTTTCTCTTATTAGCAAGGCAGAAACTAGACCTGCTGAAAACCTACGTACGTAAAATATGCTTAATGTGAAAAGCAGCACAACTCTCTATTATAAAGTATGGTTAAATGGATGATCAAACCCTGAGCAACTGGTTAATGATTTCAAGCAGGTAAATGTGAGCAATGAAGAATCAAGTTCAGTTGATGGGTAAAGGTGCCAACTAATATAGACAGGCCCTTCAGCTCCATTACAGATGTCATGGCTACCAAGTACACAACAGCTGGTGGGGATTAGATAACAAGCACTCTGGTTCAGAGATTAAGCTCTTGAGCTTTATGAGTTTACCAAGCTTTTTGGAAGAGTGACTGTTTGCTTGCTAGCTGGGTTTTTCTTCATTCCCACAACTCTAATTATGAACAGTTGTTCACCTCAAGAGAAACTCTAGTCTACTCTTCCATTGGTGTCTGCACATACCTTCTGTTAGCATTGACAGGAATCAAACGTGTGCATTAGAAGAGAAGCCCTGTCGTTGTTTAAATGCAACATAATGTTGAAAGAGAAATAAAGACAGCAAATTCTCAGTGTGAACTGAAATATTAGAGCCACTGTTTATCAAGCTGAGTGTGTATCCAATCCCTTCCACCTGGTGAGAGAGAGAGGAACAACTCTGAAAGGACTATGATACAACACATAGTTGCAACACTTGAACTCAATAGCGGAGGCTACGTTGTGCGGCAAATAATTTAAGGTATTGAATGCATAAGGTCCACTCAATCCTTTTGTAGGTTTATTTCTACCTGTAATACATGTTTTTGTGGGATTTTCTCTTATTTGCAGATTGTTGTGCAATTTTCCATGTGACATGAGTGAGCTGGGAAACTGTGGACCAAGGATAATGTCTTCTGCATGTACCTTTTTACTGTTTCTCCACTTTCAACCTTCCCCTGTCCCAAATGGTAAGATGTGCTACCATCATTCATTCTCCCTTTGTAGTATCCACTTGGGAGAAATGCGGGTGTCCAGCTAATGGAGAAGACAAAAAAGCCTGAATCAAGGCTCTCCTTGCATTAGTTCAGGCTGTTAGTTCTGTGATACCACTTCCTAACGTATGATCCCAGCTACAATCTCCGTGGCTCTTTCCTCCTGCCATCATTCTGCAAATTATAGAACCTGATTGCTTTGGAGCACTTATGAAAGGGTTTCAAATAGCTGAGGAAAATTACACCCTAGAGAATCATCCTCATCCAGATGGGATCCATCAGATCTGAATGACCTCTTCTCAAGGATGAGCTCCATTAACATTAACAGAATCTACCTCACAGACATGCACATAATTTTTAACAGAAAGTAAAAGAAGGAACTAAAAATAAATTAATCAGAAAATAAAATCTATACTTTCTATTTTCTAAGTGGACAGCACATAAAGCATTTTGTCTAGAACGTGATTTGATTAGTTTAAGACCCAAATTCAAAACCAGCCACAGGCTAAACTAATTTCAGTCTGTCCATTCAAGATGTCAGTTATCATCATATACTCTGACTGGACAATGTTCGTTAAGCTATTCTCTGTCTATATTTGAATAAAAAATTATTTCATATGATCAGCTTGCAGCTGTCCAAATAAATAAATCAATAAACAAATGAAACATTCCAACATCTCATTGTTTACAGTGGCAGAAACTCAAACGAGCCCCATTCATGCCCTATTGTCCAAGTCAGATGTAATTTGAAGCCAACCGTATGGAGTTGAGTTTCTATTGTACCCAATGTGTGGTTCTTTCCTAACAGACTAGTATGAAGGTTGCTAATTATTAATAGCATGTAAACAGTTACCAATGGTTCTTATGCTGCTTTACATACTTTACAGAACATTAATTCTAACCAGTTTCTAACCAACTATATCAAGCTGTATGTAATATCTCTATCTTAGGACAAAAATATTAATTGCTGGAAATGATCAAGATTCATGCTTTTAAAAGCCAAGTAGCCATGATTACTTGTTACACTGTTCCATTCCATATATGCTGGCCTTTTCACAATGCTTTCCTATCACCACAGTTAGAGATTGTTGGAAAGATTTTAAGGTATCAATGGTCAACATCACTCCCCCCAAAAAAGAAGTATCTTTGTGAAATACAAAAGCTCTCTCAAACCTTTAACTTTCTTAATTTTAAAAAACATACATATTTGCATTATTATAAAATAGCCCATTCTCCAGTGTCTAATAAGGGACAAAGTATCTTTCAACGAAGTGAGAGAAATAAGTATAATTGATTGATGGGAGATCTAAACACGGACAATGCGAAGGAGAAATCAGTATATTATTACATGTGAAAAAGATTTAAAAAATTATTCTTCAAATGGGAAATGTGTCCTGTAATATTTTATGAAGACAAGTATGTCAAAAGTATTTTATGTTGTTTTTTATCTGTTCAGAATAGCAATCCTGATACTGCAACAGCCTTGTATAACACATATTTGATTTGGTCAATCTTTAATCACAAAGTAATCACACTCTAGTCCTGTGCTCAGTGGCCAGGTTCTGTGATGTTGCAATGCTGAACTAGTGCATATAGTATGTGTAAATTAATAAAGCTGTATTCCAGGAGAGGCAGCATGTGAGACAACTTCGTTCCATATTACACAGAAGACAGATTACTCACATAAGAACAAATTGCATAAGAAAGCCACATCAGGTCAGATAAGAAGTTCATCTTGCCTAGCAGCCTGTCTCTAACAGCAAAAGGAAAACTTAAAGACAGAGGAAGCATACAGCAGTGCTTCCCCAGAATAATCTTCCAAGCCTCTGATGAGAGGGAGCTGAAGTGTGTCAAAAGACAAACCCCCAAAAAGGAATCCAAATTAAACACAGTCCTCCCCTGGCCACAAAAAGCAAGCACAAATGGCCATTTCTATACTATTTGAATTATGTGCAATAGTGTGTCATAAGTCCTGCTCATCTTGTCTATAAAACTGACCTGATAATGGCATTGACAATTCAGAATTACAACAGTATGCTACCAGCTTGACAGTCTGCACAAGGATAACTCAATCCATTTTGGCTCAAGTGATTCCAGGACAACCATGCACTGCAAAGAGCTCTCTGCTAGACAAGTGTTGACAGTGGATGCAAGTTCAGCAGATGTGTCTCCTACCAGCAAGAGAGCTGTTTGTGATGCCACCCATACTTGATCCCCACATTCTCTGTCCTGCTTCCACCCTTGAAATCATTTTCCTAAGACTCTTTCTGCACCTGCTCATTGCTATAATTACAGGCAGGAGCCTGTTTGCACCGTCTGTTATGGATAAGTTGGACTTGTTTGCAGCTTATAATCAAAATACCACTCTTTTTCCCACCTACACTCTCTCCCTCTCTGGCTAAAATGCCTTAAGAATCACTGAACCAGGGATATCACTGTCCTCCACTTCCCTCCACTACCTTTGGCATTATAACGTCTGAAAAACACAGTCAAATTGCTGTCAGGATACCTACGCAAAGGATAACTTTTTCTTACTAGAGAAACTCGCCTAAGAATTAGCACAGGCTACCCAATAAATAAGATAAAAAGGACAGGCTATGCTAACGATGTAGGAAGAAACATTCACCGGCACTGATCTTACCGTGATTCTGGGTGTGCTCCACATGTGACAGACCCTGGACATCCTCTGACACTCGTCACCTGGGAGGTTCCCTCTACCCTTTATTCGGGGCACCCTGAATGCCTTCCTCGCTCTTTTCCCCGAGGGCAGCACCCATGTACAGTCTGCCACCCGAGAAGCTCTTGAAGCAGCTCATCTGCCAGGTAAATGTGTCTCCACACATCCCAGTACCCAGCTCAGCGTTACACTGATACTATCCTGGGCCTTCAAAAAAATCCCCAACCCAACCAAACCAAACCCCCCTCAGTTTGGCTGTGGTCTCTTCTGTCGTGTACAGCCCTGCTGGGACTCACAGCAATTTCTCTGTAGGCGCAGCTCTTTCAGATGGAGGGAATCAGTACTTAAACACAATTTTAGAGAGACTGATGTAGGCCTTTC